ACGTGTCTTAAAAGGGCAATGCTGGCCCCACTGCCGTTTTTTTTCTTGCTCGACAGCTTTTCCCCTGAAGTACCAGCACCTTCTTTTTACAAAAAAAAGCACTACTGGTTTCAATATTGCCACTGGCGGAGCAAGGTACCATTCAGAATGAATCAGGGTGACAACCTAGCGACCACAGAAGTGAGCAAGTAGCAGATACAGGTTGGACCTCCCTGGTCTGGCACCCTCAGAATCTAACTGGTCCCAGATGAGGGATTTTGCCAAACCAGGGGAGGTCTTCCTGTTCCCCCTGCCACCATCCCCTCCCTGCCCTGGCTTTGCTACTGGCCAAAAGATGGCTCCCTCCCAGCTACCTCGCGCTGGGCTTCCCAGCCCCGCAGGAAGCCTCGCCACCAGCCCTTCACCAGGACTCTCTGGTCCTGCAACATCCAGGCTGGACCACGGAGGTTGCCAGTCCAGAGAGTCCTGGTTAATAGAGGTTCAACCTGTATATGAATAAAATCCAGGATCCATGGGTTGCAGTCCCTTCCTCTGGTCATGACATTGAAAGTGATAGCTCCTTCACAAAGGCTTCAATAGCTTGAGAAGACTTTTATAACAAGAGACCTGGATGGGTCCAGCTTTTCAACGCCTTGCTAGGTAGCAAAGAATGTTCGGGGCCCGCAGATTCACATTTGGGTAGGCCTCCCCAATGCTGCCTTTTTCCATGTGTCATTGTGAACTGCAGGCCCATGTGTGCTGGAACAGACAGAGGGTGTGTCTGCCCAGGTATCCTGTCTCTGGCCTTGCTCGATGCCAGATGATTTGGAGGAAAGCTTAACACCAGAAATTCAGCTGACCATGCAATGCTGCCCCAAGGGGAAACATCTTTCCTCGCCTCTTCTAAACTACATCCCGGAGACTGATCATCTTTATCATTATACATCTATTCTGGCTGCGAATGCTTTGCTTAGTCATATAAAGGCCAGCGCCTCAGATAGTATAAATCAGGAGTGAGGAAACTAAGGCCTAGGGGCTGGATGCAGCCCCGGGCTTGCCTAGATCTGGCCCCTAAGGCTTGGGGTCCCCCCCTGGATCATTGTAGCACCACGACTGGAGCCACCTCGATTTGCACCCGCTGCAGATCTGACCCTACTGGGACAGAGTCGCTCAGTCTTAGTGGTCAGATTCAGGATTCAGGTCAGCCACAGAGACAGAGCCGGGGATTGAGCCAAGGGTCAGAGTCAAAGCCAGGAATCAAGCCAAGAGGCAGAGGCAGAGGGAGTAGCCAAGCGTGGAGTAGAGGAGCCAGGATTTGGAATAACACAGGAGAGCAGGGACCAGTAAAGAGACAGGAAGGCGGGAATGAGGAACAAAGCAGCGCTCAGGAGTCAGACAAACAGGAAGGCTCCAAAGGAGCCGCTTTAGCCAGGGATTCACCTAGTTTTTCAGACAACTTCCCATGCTTCCTTCTGGCTGCAGTATTGAGTCTGAGCCAATCAGGGCAGCTGGACATCTACAACTGGGAGTTTTGTGGGCAATGAGCGAGGATCCCTCAGGCCACACCCACTCCTGGTAGGAGATGCCAGTGGAGGCTGTGGTCTGGTATGGACCATGATTTTTCAGGCTCATATCCTAGTTCAAGACTCTCACTCACTTGGGATTATCCTGGAGGTTTGGCTAATGGCTGAGTTGCTGCATCGTATGGCCCATACGACCCAAGGGCAAAGAACCAATAGTTTCCACAGAGGGAAAGCCATCTCTGGGACATGTTAGATTCCCCTCCCCCAACATTACACCTGCTCTCTGCTGCTTTGACAAAAGAGGGACATTTCCTGTGTTCTGAAAGGCAGGATTTCCTGTCGGCTTTGGCGCGCCTGGATGGAAACACAAGTGACTTCAGCAGTTCCCAGGAGATCCGGAGCCCGGAAGGAGGCTTTTCAGATGCTGGACATCCCACCTGATTCAAATCCCATGCAAGTCATTGGAAAGACTTCCACTGACTTCAATGGGCTTTGGATAGTTGTCTTTGTCTGTTTAGACACGCCTGTAGGACTATGCTGGCTGAAAGCCGCAGAAGCCAGGGACGTCTGGAGGTAGGCTGAATTCCCACCATGATAGCTTCTGAAAAGCCTTAATAGCCTAAACATCTAGCAGGGATGATCTAGATCTGTGTTTCTCAACCAGTGGTGCGATTACCCTTGGGGTACTCGAGAGAAGTCTGGGGGGGACATCAACACAACTGAAATTTGGAGGAAACTGAATTTTGGTTTTAAATTTTCCAGCGCTTTATTATTTTTGTAATTTTAACACCCAAAAATTTCATTGCCCTCCTGGCTACGATTAACGGCTACGTCTACACTGGCATGATTTTCCGGAAATGCTTAAAACAGAACAGTTTTCCGTTATAAGTATTTCCGGAAAAAGCGCGTCTACATTGGCAGGATGCTTTTCTGGAAAAGCACTTTTTCCGGAAAAGCGTCCATGGCCAATGTAGACACACTTTTCCGCAAAAAAGCCCCGATCGTCATTTTTGCGATCGGGGCTTTTTTGCGGAAAAGACTACTGTGCTGTCTACACTGGCCCTTTTCCAGAACAGTTTTTCTGGAAAAGGACTTTTGCCCAAACGGGAGCAGCATAGTTTTTCCAGAAAAACACTGACAATTTTACAGTAGATCGTCAGTGCTTTTCCGGAAATTCAAGGGGCCAGTGTAGACAGCTGGCAAGTTATTCCAGAAAAGCGGCTGCTTTTCCAGAATAAGTGGCCCAGTGTAGACACAGCCAACTTGTTTAAACAAATGTGTTGCAATGGTAGAAAAAAATGTGTGTGTCTGGAAACTGTAGGTACTGGGGGTGCTTATAATGTTTTTTTGAAAAAGGGGTACTTTATAAAAAAAGGTTGAGAAACACTGATCTAGATAGTTCTTGGTCTTGCCATGAGGGCAGAGGACTGGACTTGATCACCTCTTGAGATCCCTTCCCATTCTAGGGTTCTATGATTCTATAGTCACTGCGCTTATGTTGCATCCCCACCCTGTCAACGCAGGAGACTGTCCTGTCAGTGCCAAAGAGTTAGGGAGTCGAAATGCAGAAAGCAGCCACCTCGCACTGAACTGCAGCCACCTCTGGGGTGGAATGTGCCAGCCACACTGCACCGCAATGGGTTGGAGGGGAAGTGAGGAATGACGTTTCTAAAGGGAATGGCACCGAAATACAAACCCTACCCTGTAATAGGGCCAGGCTGCTCCCTATCTTGTGAGATGTGTCCTCTGGTCTCTCCTAGCTCTGTAGAGTCCAGGTCGGAGGTGTAGGACTCCATCAAGAGGTGGCTTCCTCCGCAGCTCAGTGGCACCTCGTGCAACACTGGGGCACTGATTTATGATGAGACTGGGTATGTCTACACTACCCCGCTAGTTCGAACTAGCGGGGTAATGTAGATAGATGTTGCTGTGATCAATCTTCTGGAGATTGATTTAGCAAGTCTTAACGAGAGTCTTAACTAAACTCACTGAAGTGAACTCAAAGGGTGCCCTTCCTGGCAACTGGTACTCCTGCTCTTGCAATAAGTAAAGAAAGCCAAGCAGACAGGAGTATTTGCTCCCATCAGCTTCCTGCTGTGGGGATGGCACAAAGCTTGGCTTAAGGTAAGCTGACTCCAACTATGTATTTTACATTGCAGGAGTTGCATACCTTAAGACAAGCCTCCGGGTCTATTGTAAACCTGGCCTGAGACTTACTGGATACTTAGCACTTTTGAAATTGAGGTCAAACTTTTGTGAGCCAGAGTAAGGAACTAAAAGCCTAACTAGGGGTATGTCTACACTACCCCGCTAGTTCGAACTAGCGGGGTAGTGTAGACATACCCTTTGAGAGAAGAATGTAGTCTTTGAGCAATCAACACTATTGGTAGCTGGGTATGTCCCTGTAGCCCAGCAGTTTTTAAACTGTGGGTTGTGATCCAGTGGTGGGTGGAATGTCAGGCTGCAGGGGGATCAGGTGAGCAGTGGAGGTGGAAAAGCAGCTACCTACCTGGCATGGCACCTCAAACTGCGCTGCACCCCAAAAGCAGCCAGCAGCAGGCCCGGATCCACGGGGAGGAGGAAAGAGAGCACACTGGGCCCTGCCCCTGCCCTGAGCACTAGCGCCACACTCCCATTGGCTGGGACCCTGCTGCTGGCTGCTTCTGGGGTGCAGCATGGTCTGCAGTGCCAGGGGAGGCAGGAAGCTGCCTTAGCACCCCCACTGCACCGCTGCGTAGGAGCTACTCAAGGTAAGCCCCTCCTACCTCAGCCCTGACCCCTCCCGCCCCTGCAAAGCCCGCTCCTAAACCCCAAAGCGCTCATCCTCAGCCTCATCCTGGAGCACACACTCTAGTTACATTGGCTACATCTGGACTACAGGCTTTTGTCAACAGAGACTTTGTCAACAGATACTGTCGACAAAGCTTCTGTCGACAAAGAGCGTCTAGACGACATCCAGTTCTGTCGACAAAGCAAGCCGCTTTGTCGACATGAGAGTGTAGACGCAAAGGACAGTGTAGAATGAGGTTTACCGCCGTCGACAAAACTGCCGAGTTCTGTTGACGTTATGTCAACAGAACTCGGCGGTAGACATAGGTATAGTTTTGTCGACAAAAGTCTACTTTGGTCGACAAAACCCTGTAGTCGACACACCCATGATGTTGAGTCACAGGCACCAACCATTTTCTTCAACTGGGTCATGAGAAAAAAGATTGAAAACCACAGCTATAGATCTTCCATCCCATCCCTGTCAGCCATGCCTGCTTGTAGTGGCACTCTGTCTCCTACTAGTGGTTCCTAGACCAGCTAAAGATTGACAACCCTGCTCCAGGCATGGCTAAGAAAAAGGTGTCAATTAGCCCAGATCATAGAGACTCAGGCATCAGGCTCCAAATTTGAGCCTCGCTGCTAATGACCTGGGTCTGTGGGTGTTATGCATGGGCCCCGCCCAGTTCACAAGTAGGGATGCAGTCATAGCTGTAGGCCACAAACTCTATTCACCTGTGACTTTCTTGCTGCCTTTCTGCTTGCTGTTCTGGAGCGGTGGCACCTCCAGAGAAATGATGCCAGAGTTCTCGAGGATGTTCACCTCCACTCGTAACCTTCCCACGAGCTGCTGGGGCCGGACGCTGACCGTGTACTCGTACTTCCCCAGACGCCTCTGCAAGAGCTCTTCATAATGCAGCAGGAAGATGCCGTGGGTCTTGCTTGGAATGGTGCCAGAGGCTTTGAAAGTCTCGGCTCCATTCTCCCTGCAAGGGAAATTCAAAGAGACCTTCACACGCTGTTTTTACATCAGGATGTCTCCACACCCTCAAGTTAATGGTTTCCTGACGCTGGGTCTCTTGTGTCAGCAGCTAGTGTTCCCCGTTAAATGAGAAACCAAGGACTGCATGTAATCCTGGGCCTCCCATTACAGACAGGATGTGGACACATTGGAGAGAGTCCAGCAGGGGGCAACGAAAATGATTAGGGGGCTGGAGCACATGACTTATGAGGAGAGGCTGAAGAATTTGAGTTTATTTAGTCTACAAAAGAGAAGAGTGAGGGGGAATTTGATAGCAGCCTTCAACTACCTGAAGGGAGTTCCAAAGAGGATGGAGAGAGGCTGTTCTCAGTGGTGACAGATGGCAGAACGAGGAGCAGTGGACTCAAATTGCAGTGGGGGAGTCTAGGTTGGATATTAGGAAAAACTATTTCCTTAGGAGGATGGTGAAGCACTGGAATGAGTTACCTAGGGAGGTGGTAGAATCTCCATCCGTAGAGGTTTTTAAGTCCTGGCTTGACAAAGCCCTGGCTGGGATGATTTAGTTGGGGTTAGTCCTGCTTTTAGCAGGGAGTTGGACTCGATTCTTTGATTCTATGATTTTATGACTGGCCACAGAAATACTCAAGAGGTTCCCATTAAAGCAGAGATTTTGAAAGGCTCTTATTACTATTCTTAGACAGGAGCATGGCAGATGCATAAAAAAAGGAAGGCAGTACAGAGCTCAGAGGGAGAGGAAGGGTGATCCGATGTTAGAAAACTAGGCTGGGACGCATGAGAACCAATGTCAAGTACCTGCTCTGCCACATACTTCCTATGTGACCTTGGGCAAGTCACTGTGTCTTATATTTTGGTTCCCATCTGTAAAATGGGAATAACAGCACAGTGCTGCCTCCAAGGGGTGTTGTGAGATGTTCAGCTCTCATGGTAGTGGGGATCATACAAGTCCCTCAGTCAGACCAGATATATCTCAGGCTCTATCCCAAAGAAATCGCGACCACACACTAGAAAAAAGTAAATACCTTTTACTGGTATTAAGAGGTAACCTCAGAACTCTGCCTAAAATGATAGCCAGAGAGAACAATACTCACCCACTATCTGTGGAGCTAGAATGTTTATTGCCCCTCTCCTTGTCCCTGTTGCTGGGTTTCTTTTCTTTCGCAGTGACTTCCCCATGGTAAATCCTGTCTCCAATGATCCTGCAGGGTTAAGAGATGTCAGTCTTATAGAGCTGCAGACAAATCCGGGTGTGGGGCTTGCCCTAGCGCAGTGACCATGCTTGGGCATGTTTTTGTGCTGGGCCTCCACTAAAAGAGCCATCTGTGGAGTTATTGCTCCATGAAAGCCAGCCAAGTGTAAGACCTGTATGCTTGTAGGTTGCCTATGGCGTCAGAGCTCTGAGCTGTAGCACCAAGGCCAAGTTATCAAGCAGGCAGTGACGGAAGACCTTAATGGTCTGGATAGCCCCAAACGTCACAGTTGCCATCTCTTTTCTGAAGTGCTGCATGTCATTCCAAGCGAATAAAGGGCAACCGTTCTGGAAAGTAGGGGACAAAGCTATTAACAAGGGACACCTACCTACAGCATTTTAACCGTGGCAACATACCGTGCGTGGATCTCAGCGTGTCTGCATCTCTGCATTGCTGTTGCTTGCAAACAGACTTCCACCTCGTAGACTTTTAAAGTCAGAAGGGATCCTCTAGTCTGGCCACTTATCCAAGGCAGGCCACAGAACCTCACTCCCTCCTCTAATAGACCCTAACCTCTGGCTGAGTCACTGAAGTCCTCACATCATGATTTAAAGACTTTTAGTTCCAGACCTAAGGAAATGTTTCTCACTAGGAACGGGTCCCAGGACAATGGATACCAAGGAAGCAACGTGCCTTAGAATACCCCCTCAACGTCAACCCAGCTGGGGCCAAGCAGCAGAACAGGCGGTTTCTCATGGTACCTGCAGCCCACCCGGAAGGATCAGAAGTCTCCCTGTAACTCAGGCAGCCTCCAAAGTGCCCCACTATACAAAAGTCACCCTGCGGCATCCTACCAAGTCCTCCCCTCTCCAGGGCCTTTTAAGGCCTCAGATTTCAAAGGGGATTCAAACAATCCCCCCAAAGGGTCCGGGTATTTAGCTCGCAGATACACACAGGCGCTCAAGCCAATGTTTTCTTGCTCCAAAATAACACAAAAGTGAAACTTACAGTCTTCACCCCAGCTGGCCTGTACAGCCGCTTCCCTACTCAGACAGGGTTTGGCCCATGCCTGCTTGCCTGGACAGCTTCCTCTCCTCTCTTCTGCTTCCTCGGCTTTTTTCCCCGCTGACTCAGCGTACTGCAGGAGCTTTCTGGCACCCTGCAGTACCTACAAGCCTCAGAGCAATGTCTGGGTTTCCTCCCTTGACTACAATTTCCTGCTCTTTTTTCTTATCCTGGGGGCACCTGATTCGACCCAGGTATGGCTCATCCTTATGGCTGGCTTAGTCCCAAGCTCTCCAGTCCTGGGGCAAACCATTCTGTTACAAGGGTTGCCAGATGGTTTAACCAAAAATACCGACTCTCCCCTCTCCCCCCCCCCCCCACACAAACAAAACAAAACAACAAAACAAAGACCAAAGTTGTTGAGCAAAAAAACCAAAAAAGGACCCCGAGAGTTATTAAGCAAGAAAGCCAACATTTTTTTTTAATTTTAAAAAACCAGCATGGCCCCTTTAAGAAATGCTTTTGAGGCTTTTCGGCCCTAACAGGTTGCCAGCGACTGTCCACTATCTTGTCTTCCTGGTCCAGGCTAGACAGCTCCCTGCAGAACCAGGTAAGCACCCGGGATTTTCGCCTCCTGGCCGGGAAAAAATCAGAAAATACCGGACATTTTAGGTGTCGGGTATTTTCTGAATTTTTTTACCAGACAGGAAGCAAAAAAACCGGACTGTCTGGGTCAATACTGGACACCTGGCAACCGTACCTGTTATTAAAAAAGCCTGTTCTCCAAGGCTTTCCAGCCACTCTGGCGGGCTCTGGAGAGGAGGTTCCAATTTGGGGGTGCCTGTCAGAACCAGGCCTCCCAGCAGGCCTTCAGCACCAGGGAGTCAAATACAAACTTGGGGCCCTGCTCTTCTGTGGTATCGGTAACCCTCTGGAGCTCCTGGACTCAGGGCCCAGCCTGGGCCCAGCAGGGCCAAAGAGGGGAGCCAGGGGGACATGCTCACCACACACCCTCTCATCCAGCAACGCGACAAGAAGGGGCCAAGAGTCACGGAGAAGCCAAAGCACCACGTACATGGTGAAGTTGGAGATAAAGGCCGCGGCTGGGATCTGCATCTCAAAGGTGGCTTCTTTGGCCTCTGACCCTCTGTTCACCATGGTGCAGGAAACAGTGGTGAAGGCATAGCGGGAGATGATTGTGGATCTCACTGTGAACTCAGACATCTGCGGCCGGGTCTCCTGTGGGAATTGAAGTGTTTACCCATTAGCACCAGCGACTCTAAAAGCCAAACCGCCTGTCCCTGTGGCATTTCTTCGCGGCATACCAGCCTTGAATATGAGGTGCGAACAAACAGCCTCATAAAAAGCCTGTGAGATGGAGAGTACTAGAGACCCTTTGTGAGCATTAGGCCAGTTGGGGGTTTTTATCAAGGGTTTACATAGCGGGGAAAGGTTACGCAAAGGACACGATGGCTCCCTATGTACAGTCAAGGACATAGGTCTCATTCATCCTGTGCAGTGCCCATGGGAAGCCTCTACACAGATTGAACCAAGACATATAGGCAACGTCTACACTACAGGGTTTTTGTGCAAAAACAGCCATTTTGTGCAAAAACTTGCGGAGCGTCCCCACCTCAAGTACGTTTTGGCCCAAGAAAATTTACAGTAGAATGGCAAAACAGAAGATTTTTTGTGGTGTAGATATACCTCTTTCTACGAGGAATAACTCCCTTTTGCGCAAGAGTTATTGCATGAAAAGGCATGTGTGGCCACTCAACAGGGGTTTCTTGTGCAAAAAGAGCCTATCAGAAAAAGCACAGGTGCTCTGATGGCCATTCTGTGAATGGCCATCAGAGCGTTCTTGCACAAGAGTATGCATGCAGTTTGGACGCTCTCTCGTGCAAAAGCGATGTGCTTTTGCGATGCGCTTTTGTAGTGTGGAAATGCTTTTGTGCAAGAAGTTTTTGTGGAAGATCTCTTCCACAAAAAGCTTCTTGTGCAAAAAGCCTGCAGTGTAGACATAGCCATACTGTGAAAAGTACTTGTGAAATATGTGCAAGTCCTAGATCATGGGTTTTTAATGGGAGGGTCATGGCTGGGTTTCAGGGAGTTATAACCACCTTCTCTTTCTTTAGGGCTACATGGGAGGAGATTCCCAAAACTCCGTCCAGTTGTGACATGGGATTATGGGGTGGGAAAGACTCAGAACCATGGTCCTAGATAAATCTTGTTAGAAGGTGGAAATTTTATGTAAGGTTCCTCAGCAGCCCTTACAATATGCTGCCAAATGCTTGCTGCAACCAAGTCTTAAAATGTATATGGCCGGATCCGCATCTGGTGGGACCAGCACTGATAAACTTAATTCGGTGACGTTACGCTGATTCACTCCAGCCGAGGATTTGTTCTGTAGGTCTCAAATGATGGAGGAAACAGGCTTAATAGAAAACATGCACATGACCAAAATGTCCTTTTTAGAACACTCTGGACCCCAGCCAGCCTGGATGAAGTCGGAATTGGAGCAGTGGAGAGATGACTGCCAATTTATGCATCTTGGGAATGTACTTTTATGCACAAGTGCCTAACAGAGCTAACGAGCCCTTAAACAGCAGTAGCCCCATACGTCCAAGAAGTTTTGTACTTGGAAAACCTGAGCTTCATGTAACTACTCTAAGGGTACATCTATACTGCAAGGCTATTTTGGGATATCAGAGGTATCCCGAAATAGCTACCCTGCGTCTTTTGAATGTGTCCACTATTGCGAAATATAGTGGGTGTGCTATTTCGTCATCCTTCGTTCCAGGAGAGATAAGGGATGTCTCGAAATAGCGTGTTATTTCAAAATTTGTCACTGTGTAGACGCGCCAAATTTTGAAATAGCCTATTTTGAAATAGAATCGAAATAAGATATGTAGTGCACATTCCATACCTTATTTTCGAGCTAAGGGAGCAGTGTAGACACACTCTAAGGCATTCCAAAATAGCTACCCAGTGTCCGAGGAGGGTTAGAAGAAGGCACGCCATATCGGGCTGACTTTTGAACACTCCAGACCTGATCGTTATACAGGTAGGGAGGCATCTGCAAAAATTCAGGTCTGGCAAGTTTCTGACTTTCGCTGAAGTAGTGTCACCCTTTGCTTAGCAGTGGCTCCTGGCATCCGTATTAAGAGATACCCTGGTGTAAAGGCATGGAAGTAGTTACATCAATGTGAATTTCCCTACTATAGACAGGGCCCTTAGGGTATGTCTACACTTACTCCCTTGTTCGAGATAGGAATGCAAATGTAGGCGACCAAAATTGCTAATGAAGCGGAGATTTAAATATCCCGCGCTTCATTAGCATGATCTTGCCGGCGCGTTATTCCAATCAACAGCTGTTTCGAAAGTGAAAGTGTGCGTCGGGACACGTTACTTCAAACCAAACCCATTCCTCATTTTTTGAGGAGTAATGTTAATTCAAACCAAGGGGTTTGGTTCGAACTAATACGTCCCGGTACACACTTCCTGGTTTGAATCAGCTGTTGAGCAGAGTAACGCGCCGGCGAGATCATGCTAATGAAGCGCGGGATATTTAAATACCCGCTTCATTAGCAATTTCAATCACCTACATTTGCATCCCTAGTTCAAACTAGGGAGCAAGTGTAGATGTACCCTAAGAATCTCATTCCCCTGAAGTACAAGGCAGGGGAAATCCAGATCTGGAGTTTGGTTCAGGGCCACTTCTAAATTTCACTAATTCTCTGTAAATTTCATTCAGTGTTCTGTATCTTTAACAGGCTATTATTGTGTTTGCAAGGGACTCCAATAAGTAATCAAATGGCCAGTCAGAAGTGGAAGTAAAGAATACAGGGGAAAGCTGTTATAATTAGAGCCACACAGGGTGCAACATCTTTAGTTTCAAACCTCCTGGCTACGTCTACACTGGCACCCTTTTCCAGAAATGCTTAAAACGGAACAGTCTACATTGGCAGGATGCTTTTCCGGAAAAGCACTTTTCCCAGAAAAGCGTCCGTGGCCAATGTAGACGCGCTTTTCCGCAAAAAAGCCCCGATTGTCATTTTTGCAATCGGGGCTTTTTTGCGGAAAAGACTACTGTGCTGTCTACACTGGCCCTTTTCCAGAACAGTTTTTCCAGAAAAGGACTTTTGCCCGAACGGGAGCAGCATAGTTTTTCCAGAAAAACACTGATAATTTTACAGTAGATCGTCATTGCTTTTCCAGAAAAGCAAGCGGCCAGTGTAGACAGCTGTCAAGTTATTCCGGAAAAGCGGCTGCTTTTCCGGAATAAGTGGCCCAGTGTAGACACAGCCCCTGGGTTTGCACCCTCCATCCTGATTTTCACTCTGAATGTCAGCTTCAAAACCTTCCCTAAACACAGCAGCCAAACTGAGTCAAAGCCACTGGGTTCCCCCTGGATGCATCTGAAGCTTCAAATGCCTTCAATTCTGTTGAGGGCATGGCAGGGTTGCCACTTACAACTTGGAACAGCTGCAGCTCCAGTACAAAGGGAAACCATCATTCAAGGCTTCTCCCCCTCTGGTGGTAGAAGTCCCGCCTGGAGGGCTGTGCACATGTCCACCCACACCCCTTTCCAGGTGGCGGGGAGAAACTGCTGATTCATCCACCCAGCCCTCCAAGTGGCACGTTGCTCTTTGTGCGCACAGTAGCGGAGAGCTGCTGAGGTCCTTTCAAACCAGGTGGCTAGGCTGTGGGCTGGCATTTAGCCCACGTTCCAGTCTGCACAGCGTATGCATTCCCTAGAGTTCTTGCACAACCTCTTACTGTATGAAATTGTGACCTACAGCTGTGTGCACTGCCCGCTTTGTTTTCTCCACTGCTTGTAAAAGCCCCATAGGAAAATGAGAAGAGGCATGAAGCAAAAACATTCCTTTTAAAAAACAAACAGGAGTGCACTCCAGGGTAGCAGAGAGCGCTGCTCTTTTGCAGAGGAAGGCATTGTTTTTTTCATTGTGTTTCCCTGTCACAAGCAAATTGCTTTTCTTGCCGAACAGAGGATTTTATTCCTGCTTAGCCCGTGCTTGGAAGTATGAAGAGAGCAGTAAATATAGAGAGCAGTGCAAATCTGAGGATATCCGCTTTATATCCATGGGTATCAGCATCCGCTGATTTGGGTGTGGATATCTGCGGCTTCTTTTTAGCAGGAACAGATGTGGATGCAGATATAGATTTTGTATCTAGACCCCTGCAAATTTGGGCAAATCCACTTTATATATTCACGGGTATCCCTGTTAGCAGGAGTGGACGCAGGTACCCACTGATCATTTTTGCAGATGAGCATGCGATCAGATGCTGATTTTATATCGGCACAGGGCTCTCTAAATAGTTTCCTGTGTTCTCTCTGTCAGCGGTTGCTTAGATCAAAACAGCTTGACCTTGTGTTGAATTCTTGTTAAAAACGATAACAGGACTCAGTGGCCTACAGTATGTGAGATGAGTCTCAGTGGGGGTGTGGTCATACCATGACCACTTCCACCAGTACTACCGCGTTTACCAGTGATAAACCACCTCCCCTCAATGTCATAGCAAAGAGGAAGGACCCTGGATGGACTTAGAGTAAGCAACATCCATCCTTAGCAATCAGGTTGCAGAAGATTAATGGGGCAGTGTTGGGACATGCTTCAATTACCACTACGCATCTGGAACCTACCATGTGGGTAAATACAGGAATGTAGCCTCTAGAATTCTTAGCCTGGGACAGGCCAGTGCCTCTATTTATTCACACCCACACGCCTGCATCCAAATACATCCACGCTGAATTTTCGCTTTTATGCAAGGACATAAATATGCAGCAGGATACATACCAGCCTCTGCAGAAATTTGCTTTGCCTTGGGACTCTGCTGCGTGCAACCTGCAAAGGGTTAAGGGAACATTGTAACTTGTGCCTTTCTGCTTTCACGTTCCTGAACGGAAGATTTGTCGTTTGTTTAAAGAATGCAGTGGAGTCGATCCAGACGTTGATTAGTGCGACGGGTTTCACACAGCCCGGGTGAAACAATCCCTTTGTTAAGATTAAACGTCCAAAAAAAAAAATCTGAACACAGCCACCGATCAAAGCTGTGGAACATAATTTGGTTTTTCCAGACAAGGTGTCGCGAGCGCTTTTCAAAGCAGCATGTTACATGTGGGAAGTGTTGTATATGGGGGGAGGGGATGTTGTAAACTGACACGCAAGGGCCATCAGCATTCAGACACAATCCTGAATAAAGAGTTAGCCCTCCGTCACTTTTCAACTAGGGGTCTCAGAGCGTTTTACAATTGGTAAGGATGGGGTTATTATTGTACTAAAATCACAACATGGGGAAACTGAGGCACGTGGCAGCTAATTGGCTAGCATACAGCCACACAAAGAGACAGGTTCTTGGCTGGCATAGAGCCATCCATTTGAATGGAATTGTCCTGATGTATACCACCTGGAAACCATGCTGGGGCTATCTGATTTCAGCTAAATCACTAGTCACCGGGAAGCAATAGCTGCCCATTGAAAGTACTGACCACGACAGAGCGAGACGTTTTAAAACCAGCCATCAGGCTGACTGTGAAACAAAGTGCCAGCCCCAGCTGCAGCACAAGCAGGTCCATTGTATTAGTGTCCACCAGCTGCAAGAGCTTCTCTGACTTGGCTGTACGCTGCCTAAGTCCCAAACTAGATTCTAAAAAAGCCACAAAAATACATCTTTCAGCAGCAAAGTGACAGTCTCTCTCAGTGGTTTAAGGATAATAGCTAAGATGTTGTCTCACAATGTCTTCAAAGCAAGCCCCAATCTCAGTCAGTACCAGGACTGCCTTAATGCAAAAAAATCAATCTGCTTATTAAAATGTCAGAGAAACTCCAGGCAGGAGAGGAGAGCAATCACACTTTGTATCTAAGGTACCTTTGTTATTTTACCCTAACAGAATGGATTTCCTTGCCAAGGAGAAAAAGTTATGTCTGTTTACATGGTGTTAGAAAGCTAAAAAAAAGTGCCGGGGAGAAGTTAAACAGTCTCTAGTGTAAGAACTTTTACTCTTTTCTCATCTGTTGCTTTGATCAACATCTTGCTAAATGGTAATATCGGAAAAGTGGAGCACTCAGGAAACTCAAAATATAGATAGAACATTTTGAAAGGGATACACACCCTCATGCTTCAGGACATAAGGCAACCTCTATGTGACGGGTCAGGAAGAAACTTTCCATGTATGCGGGTTATCTCCTAACTTCCTACTGCAGGATTTCTAGGCCTTACCTCTGAGGTTTCTAGAACTAATCACATGCAAAGATGAGATATTGGACTGGAAGGACCATTGTTCGCATCCATCAGAGCAATCCCTATGTTCTTACTGATAGATAAAAATCTTGTCTCTAATGAATTGTTTCAAATCCAACACACCCTAGAAGAGACCCAAAGCCGTTATCATGGAATAGCCTTTGAGGTGCACATGTGGAATGAGTTGGTGGTGTACGGAACAGCTGGCCCATACCAGAAAAACCAGCATGGATGCAATAGATACGATAGCTTTACTGGCAATCTTAGTAGAAGCATTGAGTGGGCAGGGGAGACTAAATTATCACCACGTGGTCTTTCAAGAGGGAGCAACCTCCCAGATCAGAGGCCAAAATTCCACCCAGTGCAGCAGGATCAAACACAGCCAATCACAGGTGGAGGATGAAGCTTCCCCTTGAGGAAGCTGGCCCAGTGCCCCATATCTTCCATCCTGCTGGCTGTCCTCAGTCCCCAGTCAGAGCAGGGGAGAGGGGTGGCTAATAGCTTAGGCGGTCCCACAGAATGGGATTGGTCTGGGTCAAGCTCTCAGCCCCAGTTTGGACCCTGGCACCAGCCGCTGGCCACGATCTCTCCCATGTCTCCATCCCTTTCTGTCCCATCCCTCGCGGTCCTACCTCTGTTCCACCCACAGCCATGCCCCTGTTCTACCCCCTTCCCTCCCCCCTGGCTCTTCCTTCTGAAGCCCTGCCCCCACTCACTCCTTTTTGCTTTGCCCGGCCCCGGGACTAGAAAAGCTCTGTGCTCCCATTGCATCCCCAGAGCCATGGCAAGGAGAAGATTTTTCAGGGCGGGGCGGGGCCCAAACTGGCCAGTGGTCCTCGGCACCAGCCCCTTGGATCCATGCAGCAATCTCTCGCTGCCCCCCTCTGCTGCAGCATTCTGAGGTTTGGCCTATTTGATCTACGCTACCTTTCAGAGACCCTGTGTATGTCACAGTTCCCTCCATTGTTTCTTTTCCTTCATTCTTCGTGTGTTGGGGAGCTCGGGGTCGTTTTGAACCAGACAAAACTTTTCCCATGACAAAAATCAAGCCAGCGGTGTCGGAAATGTGAGATTTGTCCAAGACCAGAACAGCTGCTCCGGTGTTCCGCCTTTAAGCAGCGATCACTTCACAGAGGGAGGGTCACAAAGAATGTTGTGCTGGAAACGAGGGCCAGGATATCTTCCAGCCCCCCACCCTCCTCCAATAGTTAGTTCACTCCCTAAAACACGAGATCTGCTTACGTTTTTCTTACATGACATCCTTCCAATGGGAAGAGCCCTGAAGCTGAGAAATGATTAACTTTACCCACCAGGGCTACGTCCCTATTTGCTTTGCTGCAGAGACATGGGGATTTTTTTTTAATTCATCTTCCTACTAGCATCTGTGGTGAAAATCCATGAGTTAGGAAGGCCGGGAGCTTGCCAAGATCCATGCATGTGCTTAACTGTCCCCAGGAGAGGGACTTAGCGGGGAGCCATTCATGAGCGCAACAGTTCAGCACGTGTTTGAGATTTTGCCAGATTAGGGCTTTAAGGATTCATTTCTGGGAGCGGGGTGGCTGGGGAAGGGCAAAGGGAAGGAGCATGGACACATGGGAACATTCCCCTTCTCCCCCCCCCCCAACTGTCTCTAAAATTCAATAACACCCTAGCAGGGAATGCACCTTTCCCCTACTCAGTGTTTTCAGTGCTTTGCATTGTCATTCGCTAAACAGAAGCAATGATACAATATTCGGCCTGACCCTTCCTCTGAGACCTTTGCATGACTTCTCCTTTCTCCTTTGGGGCATTGCACAAACAAATCACAGTAGCTAACGGCACTTAAAGCAGTAAGTATCTCTATCCATCCATGCATGGTACTCTTGTGGGCCCCATTACTATAAGCCCTCATCGTCTTTAATGTATTGATCCTTATGACACCCCCGTGAGGAAGGGATATGCTTTGAGCCCCATTTTCTAGAGGCTACGTGACTTGCCCAGGGTCACCTTGTAAGTCTGCAAGAAAATGTGACATTATTCGATTTCCGATGTGACGCTGTGGATTTTAGCAGAACATTGTTGGACACACTTTTGTAGATTTGCCCCCAAATTCTGTACAAAGTGGACCAAGTGAGCTGTCTATTGGAAGCTTATGCTTTGCTGATTCGTTTATACTATGCATATGCACATATCATTTCTGTTTTTAAAGTTATACGTATTGGCTTATGTACTGGTATTCCAAATATTTGTTCCTGGGAGATATCAACAGGCAAAGCCTGTTGTGAAAGGGTGGCTAGGTAAGTAAATCACAGTATTTTACTGTCAATGGACCTTAAATGGGGCAATCCACATCTGCGGGATTTTGCTGTGAACATTCAGACCAGTAAGCAAGTGATGGTGGCTAAGGACGGAGTCATGCATGGACTGGTAACTTGCTCATGAGACAAACTCCATCTGGGGCTGAACTTGGAAAACAATGACATTCCCTCCACATGGGCCAGGGTATAAAGAGGGCCCTGGGGGTTCTTCCATCTTTGTCTTCACCCCAGCTCATCACTTCAGGAGCATCTTTGCTATAGATTGAATCCAGAATGACTGGTGACCCATCCTGAGAAAGGATGTTTTCCAGAGACTTATAAGACAGCAGATTATTCCATCTCTGCTACAAGCCTGAACCAGGAACTTTGTAACTGGGGTATATAATTTGTTTCCTTTAACAATTTTACTTGGCATCTTTTCTTTCTCTCTTTTAGGCTAGGTCTAGACAACGGGGCTTTATCGGAAAAGCGACGCTAATTGCGCTCTGCGATTTGCATAGATTTTTCTGATTGCTTTTCCAGAAGAGGCTTTTCCACCATTTCGCCCAATCTAGATGGGGCCAAATGGTGGAAAAGCCTCTTCTTTTGGTGGAGCCCTTATCCCTCATGGAACGAGGAATACAGGGCTCCCTGAAAAAGTGTTTGCTCTTCCACAAAAAGAAGCGGAAGAGCAAACGCACTTCCTGGACATGGTGGGGGTTTTCCAAGACACCTCCAGTATCCTGGAAAAAAAGCATAGCCTAGACATAGCCTTATTAGTAAACCTTTGGGCTGTGTCTAGACTGGACAGTTTTTCCGGAAAATCAGCCGCTTTTCCGGAAAAACTTGCCAGCTGTCTACACTGGCCGCTTGAATTTCCACAAAAGCACTGACTTCCTACTGTAAGAAATCAGTGCTTCTTGCAGAAATACTATGCTGCTCCCATTTGGGCAAAAGTCCCTTTTGCGCAAAACTTTTGCACAAAAGGGCCAGTGTAGACAGCTGAGATTTGTTTTCCGCAAAAAAGCCCCAATCACGAAAATGGCAATTGGGGCTTTTTTGCGGAAAAGCGCGTCTAGATTGGCCAGGGACACTTTTCTGAAAAAAGTGCTTTTGCGGAAAAGCATCCGTGCCAATCTAGACACTCTTTTCCGAAAATGCTTTTAACGGAAAACTTTTCCGTTAAAAGCATTTCCGGAAAATCATGCCAGTCTAGACGTAGCCTTTAGATTTTAGATTCTAATGGATTGGCCTTTTGCTCTTTTGGGGACGATCTGAAGTGTAAATTGACCTGAGAATGTGGCTGGTCCTTTGGGATTGGAAGAACCTGTTTGGATTTGGTGGGATTGGTTTGCATAACCTCTCACCTGTGTAAGGAGCGGCGCTGGCTGTGGTAGAGGAGAAGCTGGAGTGTCTAGGGTATTGCTTGTGTGACTTCTTGTTGACCAGGGTGGCAAACAGAAGTGTTCTTTGTGGCTGGTGTGGTCCTTATTGAGGATGAATGCCAGTCTTGGGCTGTCAATAGCCCTGTTTCTAAGCAATTCACCTTGATTTGACCCTCTCAGTGGTATACCCAGGACCTATTATAGGGGGCAAGGGATTACAGCCAGGGAACCTAACCGTGGACCATTCTTTCTCCGTCTGGAGCTGTCCCTCTCAAGTCATGACAAAAATCCCCCCACAAAAAGAAGTGACTATGAGCCACCCCACAACCCAACAGTATCATCTTCTCTGGTCCATACATCTCCTCTTTCATCACAAAGCACTTTCCCAGCTGATGTACTGACTATGCTTCGGGGTCCCTTCATCTAGCCTGGGTCAGAAAAGCCAGAGCCAGGCAGCAACGCTGCACATGTTTTCTCAGGAAAAAGCTGAATCCAACTTTTAAACTTTCAGAATTACACAGGATGGCATTTGGCCAGGACTCTGGGGTTAACTCCCTTATTCTTGCTAGCTGCATCCACCAGCTCTTTAATGAGCACCGCCTTGGCTTTACCACCCTCATCCCAGGGCAGACGACCCCCTGGCAGCACTGTGCCCCCTACCACTATGCAGGGGCGTTGTGCATTACCGGCTCAGCGCCAATGCCTGAATCTCTACTAGCCATTTCTCACAGTACCTACTCGTCCTGTCAATTCTCCGACCCTAGCCAGTGCCCTCCAGCAGGGAGATCTGGAGGCAGGGGGGGGAGAGGCGATGGGTGTGACGTGTGCTCACAAGCAATATGCCTGCCTTTCAGGGGGTGAGACTTGGGAAAGGGGACTTGCTTTGGGATTTAATGCCATTGGGAGCAAAAGACACAAACACTCACCCTGTAGTTTCATGCCAACTGACATCACATCGACTCTAACATAAGGGGAGGAGAAAATACCTTTTGCTGTAGGTGCCGCGCTGTCTTTTTCTTACTGTTGTACCCCACGCCATGGATACAGTATAAACAATGATTTGGGGATGGGAATATTAATGAATGTGGCTGGGTTAATCAACTACACTGTTATTTGCCTGTGGAACTACACGATGCTCAGGAGCATAAACAAGAGAACTGGGTCCCAGTCCCATGGTCCTTATAATCCATCGTTAGATCAGTAACAAAACCAACTTGAGTAACTAGAGACAGTAGGGCAAGGAGTCTGGAAAACACCCAGAGACGTTGGAGCAGAGCAGGTTCTCGACACAAAAATCACATATCTTGATTTGTTATGGGGGGAAAATGGAGGTAAACTTTCTTACGATCAGTGTGTGCTTGTACTCTGGGTCCTCTAGCACAGTGTTTCGTAACCTTTTTTTTTTTTATAAAATACCCTCTTTTTCAAAAAAAAATTGTAAGTACCCCCAGGACCTACAGTTTTCAGACACATAATTTTTTTTCTACCATTGCAACACATTTGTTTAAACAACTTAATCGTAGCTGGGCGGGCGATGACATTTTTGGGTGTAAAAAGTAGAGAAATAATAAAAGCGCTGTCAAACTTAAAACAAACATTCAGTTTTCTCCAAGTTTCAGTTGTGTTGACGCACCCCCCAGACTTCTCTCAAGTACCCCTAAGGATACTTGTACCACTGGTTGAGAAACACTGCACTAGCAAATGAGATGGGAATTGATCTCACCTGGTTGCCCTGGGTAGACATAGATACAAAGGACCCCCAGGTGGATTATATTAAATTAATCTCCCCACCACCACCACCACCACCACCAGGCTGCTCATTTGGGATAACCCAGACAGGGGACACTGGATGCTCCAAACGAATCATCGCTTTGAAACTTACATGGTCTCTGAAGTCAGAATCCACCATCAGCGTCTCTTCCAGATACCTAGCGAGGAGCTCGGTGTCCTGCTGCCCAGCGGCGAGAGAGAATCCCCAGCAGAGCCACAGCAGAGAAATCATGGTGCAAGGGGCAGCCAGGGGTGCCCCCTCCCCCCCCCCCGGGGAAGAGAAGCCCTCTCACTGTTGGGGCTGCTGCTTGCAGCTGGCTGGGATGGAGCGTCTGCAGGAGAAGCTGAGAGGAATCTCTCTCCCCCGCTTCCCCTCCTCCTCCCTATCTCTGGACCAGCCCCTTTTCCAGGCTCGCAGCCAGGGCTGGGGATCCCTTGCGATTGGTTTACGGAAGAGTAAAGGAAGCAGCAGGTCTGGCTCCGAAGGCCACGCACCGGCGAGTTCCCCAGCCCCCAACCCAGCCCATGCCTTGGCAGCTCAGGGGCTGCCCTGAGCAGTTAGAAGTGCTGCACTTCTCCCTAGTCCAGTTATCCAGTCCCCCGTCCCAGGATACTTAGGGCTGCTGGACACCTGTCGCAGGCGGCCTTCCAGTGGGGCCGCCTCAGACCCCGCAAAGCCCCTAGAGAGGCCTCATTCCTGTCAGACTGAGGCTTCTCTCCCTGAGCCCCTGGCCACTGACAACTGTCCCCAGCCAGCTACTCTGAATCCTCCCCCAGTGACAAGAGCCCTGCTCTCCCCTCCCATCTGCCAGCTCTTCTGGCAAAGAGCAGCTCCCGCACCCATCCTGTCTCATCATGTCCCGTTAAAAACCCCTCTCTTCGCCTCAGCAGAGCCGGAGGCTTGCAGGAGCAGGGGCTGTGAGCGGGCACGCCTCTCCGCTGGCTGAAACACTCCCTGCATGCTGGAGGGTGCCAGCTGGCTAGGACAGGGCATGACTCTCTCAAACCATATTTTAAAACCTTATCCCAGGAGTTATCGCCCGGGAGGAGATTTATTGATATTCCGGTAGCACTTCCAGATCCCAGATACGATCTGGACCCCCGTGGTGCTGCGCAGTGTACATGCAGATCTATCTAGGAAGAGACAGCTCATGCCCCAAAGGTCTGATAGCAGGGGTGGGGAAGTTAAGGCCCGGGTGCTGGATGCGGGCCCTGGCTTGCCTGGAACCGGTCCCCGAAGCTTGGGGCTCTTCTCCTCCCCCCCCCCCACGCCCACCCCCTCACCATTCCCCTGTGGGGCTGGAGCACATAAAATCTACTAGCTTGGACCTCCCTGGGCTGTGGGGTGCGAGGGCAATGCGGGGAGGGTCTTTTTCCTTCTCAGTCAGAGGCTACGTCAGTGAAGGGTTGTTTTGGTGGGGTTTGGGTGGGTTTTTGCTTCGCACTTGTGGGCAGCCCCCACATGATTTTTCTGTGGATGAGTGGCCCCCAGCCCAACAAGGTTCCCCACCCAAGGGCTAAACAGACAAGGAAGGGTTCTTGTCCCCATTTGACAGATGGGGTACTGAGGCAGAGAGATTAAGTGACTTGCCCAAGGTCACACAGGAAGCTCATGACACTGGTGGGAATTAAGCCCAGGGATTCAGAGGCCCCACTCCAGTGCTTTAATGACCAGGGCATCCTTCCCCTTAAGGGACCATGCTCAAGTGCAGCCTTATAGCGCCTGGTTGCATCCACAAGATGAGAGAGATTGATCGATCTGAGTGCTAGACAGTCTGATTTACTGTGCATCCAGAACTGCCCAGACTTCTATGGCTGCCCAACACCCCCCCAAAACCAAGCCACAACTGTGCTAGTGACCAAAGAAAACTCTTCAGGGCACAGAAAGTGCCTGAGCAGGATGCACAGATATTTGTATGGCTAGTGTATCCTCAGGAAAATCCTGCAAGAAGCCTGCTTTTGTGCCCATCTTCCTCTCTGTGTGCATATGCAACCCTGGGAACGCATTAAATGAGCATCTCGTGGTCATTACAGATTTTATCCTTGCAACCCCCTTGTGGAACAGGAAAGTCTCATCCTCACTTCACCGATGGGGGCCAAAAGAAAGTGTAAGTTCATAGAATCATAGAACATGAGGTTATCGAGTCCAGTCCCTTGCCCTCACAGCAGGACCAAGGACCATCTAAAGTTCTAGACCGTCTCTGATAGAAGTCTTATTTGTATGGCTAGTGTATCCTCAGGAAAATCCTGCAAGAAGCCTGCTTTTGTGCCCATCTTCCTCTCTGTGTGCATATGCAACCCTGGGAACGCATTAAATGAGCATCTCGTGGTCATTACAGATTTTATCCTTGCAGCCCCCTTGTGGAACAGGAAAGTCTCGTCCTCACTTCACTGATGGGGGCCAAAAGAAGGTGTAAGTTCATAGAATCATAGAACATGAGGTTATCGAGTCCAGTCCCTTGCCCTCACAGCAGGACCAAGGACCATCTAAAGTTCTAGACCGTCTCTGATAGAAGTCTGTTTAACCTGCTCTTAAATATCTCCTGCGATGGAGATTCCACAACCTCCCTAGGCAACTTATTCCAGTGTTTAACCACCCTGACAGGAAGTTTTTCCTCATATTCAATCTAAACCTCCCTTGCTGCAGTTTAAGCCCTTTGCTTCTTGTCCTATCATCAGAGGCCAAGGAGAACAATTTTTCTCCCTCATCCTCATAAAACCCTTTTAGGTACTTGAAAGCTGCTATCATGTCCCCTGTCAGGGTATGTCTACACTGCCCCGCTAGTTCGAACTAGCCACGCGGCACGGGGTTCGAACCAGCCGGGATTTAAAAATGGCGGCGCCCGTCTTATGCAAATGAAGCCCGGGAAATTCAAATCCCGGGCTTCATTTGCAAGTGCGGTATGCCTACATTACCCTCCTATTTCGAAATAGGAGGGTAGTGTAGACATATCCCCCGTCTTCTCTTTTCTAAACTAGGCAAGCCCAATTCGTTCAGTCTTCCCTCACATGTCATGTCTTCTAGACCTTCAATCATTTTTGTTGCTCTTCTCTGGACCCTCTCCAGTTTCTCCACATCTTTCTTGAAATATGGTGCCCTGAACTAGACACAATACTGCAACTGAGACCTAATCCGCGTGGTTCTCCATGAAAGCCTGATTCTGTGCTCACATCAGAATAAATGAGGAGTAATTCCACAAACGTCAAATGACTTTGACCAGGATATGTGAGATCCAAAACGGGTCCTGGTAACACCTTTCCATAGTACCCAGTGACACTGGTTTCTCATCTCTGTCTCTTTATTAAATGAATTGTTATTATTATTTATCCGTTTCATAGTAGCACCTAGGACAGTGCGACGCCAGGGCTCATAGGTGCTGCACAATATAACAAAAAGAGGATTCCTCCCTAAAGAGCTTACCATGTAAGTATAAGACAAAGAACAATAGGCGGGGGAGTACGGGGAAACAATAAGCCAGTTTCTCAGCATGAGAGGCAATGGTCTAAGCAAGCACACTAGCTGCAGAACCTATAGAAATAAAAGCTATTTGCAGGCATCCTAGCAAAGGCGAGTTTGTAGGTGAACATCTCTGTTTTCAGAGAGCTCTTCTCACACATGAGGAACAGCCTGGGAGAAAACACAATGATGCATCACCAGAGTTACTCTTGTTTTACAGCTGGGGTAAAAGATCAGGACTCAGGGTGGGTGGATGTGGGGATAACCAACAGACTGAAGATATAAGCTGAAAGAATATTGCTGTGTCTAATCTGATTAGGTCTCTAGTCACGTCCTGAGCTAAGGTACTAAGGTCATCACTAATTGACACCAGTATCAAGCTCAAAGCAGGCCTGATGTTTGAACAGGAGGCATGAGATCATATCAAAGTTAATTTCCCTCCTTTAACTTGCCGTTCTCTTTCTAGGGGCCGACGTGCCTGGCCTCCATCTCAGGATGCCATTCCAGGTGGAGATAAGCAATTATTGAGGTGTGCTTACTCACATTAGACAGGTTGGGGGCTGTCTTCTATTGCGGGCCCATGGCAAACTCAGCAGCAGGTGTTCTGTGGGTGTGGGCCCGCTACGCTACCTTGCAGGGCATGTCCGTGGCTAGTCTGAACAGAAATGTTCTGGCATGGCATGATCTGAGAACTAACCCTCCATGCACACAGATCCAAGACTGATTGCATTGTTTCCGTGAAATTGTCTGTGTTTATAAACAGACACACACACCCCTCCTAAGTTATGCTCAGCAGAACTGGGACCCCAGGCTGGTTAAATAGCTATCGGGGCAGGACAGTCTATGTCAAGTAATGTCTAGGATTCAGACAGCACCTTTCAGCCATGGGAACGCCAAAGTGCTTTGCAATCTGGGAATCCCATACAGGCACCAATCTGCTTACCTGGAACTCCAGCAATCTGGGTTTACCTGCTTTGCTACATGGATTCTCTGTGGCTAAGGGTTTGCAGGCACAGAATGTGAGCGCAACTGATGTAGGCGCACTCGTTCAGGTACTGGAATCGGTTGCACATGGCTCAGCATGAGCTAGCTGCAGGAGTCATGTTCCAGGGTTCCAACTGGGCTTGTATAGTCCAGCTGCTATGATTTCACTATGCCAGTATCCAAGCTAATAAGATCAAAGTGAGCTCAGGAATGTGCATATAAAGGGCAATCACACCCCATGAGTGCAGGGTAGGCACACCCTTTGAGTGAGTCATTCAATCTATCTTGTGCGGTAATTCTCCATTTGTAAAATGGGAACCGTTATAATGAACACGGCGGGAGGGGTTATAAATGTAAGTTCACTCAGGATTGTGAAGTGCTCAGATTCTACAGTGATGGGAGCCATATTAACTACTTAATTTGTACAGCGAGTGATCAGACTTAATGGGAGGAAAATCTGATTACTACTAGCTGGAAAATGGAAATACCCTCTTGCGAAAAATTTTACATTTTTGAAAAAAAAATCATCCAAAATTGAGACAAAATTCAAACCCACATTTTTTTCCTGGAAAGGAATTTCCAGAATTCAATTTCAAAACTGAGAAAAATAAATATTTTTTTCGAGCAATATATAATTAGACTGTGGAACTCATTGTCACATGAAGTCACTGAGGCCTAGAAGGTGCCAAGGTTCATAGTGGGATTGGACATTTGTGTGTATATGTAATATACACAAATGTGCAATCCCTCTATGAACTTTGGTATAGTCTAGGCCTCAACTTCATGTGTCAATGAGTTCCACAGTCTAATTACTTGTTTTCTGAAAAGAATATTTCTTTTTCATATCTAGTGATACACACACAGCATTATCATTACTAAATAGGATAAAAAAAATAGTA